TGTTATCTCTATATGAGAATTATTCCATATAATATATTCATAATTTCACATCTTATAATGACAGACTGACATCATATAATGACAGATTGACAGAATATATACTTATTTTGACCTTATATAAGGATTGTTTCACATAATACGTTCAAAAAATAACATGGTATCATGATAGAATGACATCATATAACGACACATTGACATCATGTATTGTTCAGTTGAATTGATATTAGGATTCTTCCACATGATATATTCATGAGTGTACATTGTATTAAGAAAGGTTGACTCAATATATTGCTATTTGGACGTTTTATAATTATAAGACAGTCAAGGCTTTTAATTATTTTACCACACCAATTATTTTCAAACTTAAAATACTTGTCAGTTTTATTATTTTTTAACGTCATCTTTTTTACACAATGACTTGAAAATTTACCACAATCGTCTCCTTAAATGTTATTATACGTTAAATTATTTGAACGGAATTTGAAATAAAAATAATTATAGCTGTACCTGTTTTTGTTGTTGTTTTTGATATTTTTGTTATAAACGTCCACAAAACTATTCGTCCACATACCAATATTTTTACAACTGATTTTTACAACTGAAATCGTCATTTATCACTGTCATCTTTACTTGTTCATTCCTTGTGGTTCTATAAGTATTATTGCTGTTAAACTATATGGGAGCCATAAATATGATACTTAGTAAAAAAAGGACATGTGTGCTGATTTCTCAATGATGACTGACGCTACAGTACATGTCTGTAAGAGGTCGATGAGTGTGAATACAAGACAGGACATAAATAAAATACATGTACATATATTAGAAATAAAAACAGATATTTTAATCATCTATAAGATTTTATTTGTATGCAATTATATTCTTTAAATGACGACAATGATTTATCTTGATGTCGAATACATATTATACATTACCCAACACAATAACAAGAAGAAGAACAAGAAAAACACTGCATTTGTACATGTACTTTTATTACAACAAAAAAGAAAGAAAACAAACAAATTTTACATATAGTTACATGTATATGTACAGTACATGTTACAGTACATGTACGTACGTATACTGATGTTTAAATACAGTAATTAATTTTTAAAATTTAAGGTTTCCACCGCGTTGACCGGTGTTTGACCGCCGCGTTCCTCCGCAATTTACCACTGCGTTCCGCGGGGGAAACGGTTTCAGCCGCCGATTTATGTCCGCGGTGGTGAAAATTTTCTGTCCGCGGGGTCACGCGGACAATATCTGAGCAAATTTTCGTCCGCGGTAAACCTCATCCGCGGGGTCACGCGGGTTTTGAAAAAGTCGCGCTGAGCGTACTGTAGCTCTGAGGAGACGAGAGTTGCATATATTTGATGACAGAGTCTTTCAGGTTTGTATTCAAGAAATTCTTACGGAATAATTTGTGAATTAAAAGGACACATCTGCACGGAAGGAAATTGTAAAAGAGAGATTTACTGAGCATTGAGACTAATGGAAAGATTCAAAATTACTGCAAATCACAAACGCATCATGTCAGATCTAATTGAACTGTTACAAGATAACTCTAATGATGGAGAATACGAGGGTTGTCCAAAAAATTCGTGCACTGCAGTTATTGTCGTGAGAGTAATTAATAAAAACAAATGAATTATATATCACTTGAAAGAGAATTTTGTCTCAAATAAGAAAACAAAAGAAAAAGCCGAGTAACCGGCGTGTCGTGTAAAAGAATGGTCATTGAGTTACCTTAGTAACGTAATACCGTGGCAAGACAAAAAAATGGGTAAGTTCATTACTGTAATTGTATTATTTGTTGCTTGTAAATATTAAGTGGTATTTGCTTTTTATGTTATAATTTGTTTTACTGTCAATAATGGAATGATTAATGAAAAGTATTGTGTAGTTTTTATTGTTTTTTATGCAACGTACATGTAGCATATTCCACCAGTGCAGGAATATATTGGACAAACCCTCGTCACATGCGCCGGCATTACGGACGGACGTCTGCCTGACTAGTTGTCATCGTCTTCCGACTCTCTTTCTCTTCCACTGAGCGTATGTGCCATTTAAAACCAGACTTGGTGACACTGAACTTGTCCCGCTTGCCCTTTTTAAGTTCTTTGTAGGTATCTGTTGGTAATTTACCAATATTTGCACCAAATTTAATGATCTTCCGTATTTCCAGACGTTTAGCGACTGACATTTTCACGTAATTACAGTATTGATGACCGCACACAAATGTTTGTTTACGACTGTTAAAATAGGGAAAATGACGCCATATTTTTTAGTGACGTTAGGAATACGTACACACACTTTTCCCTGAATTTTAACGTTAATATGTAGTGTTTAAAAAATACTGGGATGCATCAAAGTAATGAACTAACCCAATTCTTTGTCGTGCGCCAGTATTACGTTACCAAGGTAACTGTATGACGTTTCGTTTTCAGAACATGTCGGTAACATGTTTTTTCTTTTGTTTTCTTATTTAAGATATATCTCCCCTTCAAGTGATATATAATTAATGTTTTTATCAATTACTCACACAACAATAACTGCAGTGCATGAATTTTTTGGACAACCCTCGTATATGGAAGAATTTCTACTTCTCCCAGAAAATATTAAAGATGCTTTACAAAATAAAAAAAATAGATGACTGTTATTAAAAAGGATCATAATGACTGAATGTTTCTTTATATTTATAACTTTGAATGTGATAAAAACCAGTGTTTAAAACGTATAAGAAATAAAACAATCTAAACTAAAAATCTAAAATAAGTCACATTGATGGCTTTTGTAATGTAATACAATACATTGATCTTTCCGTAAAATGAATTCCCTGTTCAAGAATAAAAAAAATATTCATTATTTTAAAAATCAGTTTACACGTTTTCATAATTTAACAATTGTACTTACAAAGTCATAGCAGTGAAAGAATTATTGCCGCAAACAATCATATATCAATTGGTCACAAATCTGCGTTGACTGTTTGAGAACAATTTCCCATTGACCTTAGAGACCCGAAATATCTTAATAAAATACTGTTCCACACTTGGCATTCAATTATGTTCGGTTGATAAGTTGTGCCAGAATGTGTTCCGTGAAAGCCCACGGTAGTTTAACCACTAAACAAGGCAATAGTGTATTTATGTTGTCTGAATATATTACAGACGCACCTAGACTTTTCACATGCAAACAATCATCGCTTAGCAACGTTATTTGTAACGTTTCTATAGAAAATTAAACAGACCGAAAAAAACTGAGATTTTAACAAAATTAAACATAAAATAATTTAGAGGCAAAGGCTTGGCAATGCTTACGAACTGACATACCCGTTATATTCTACTCTTTTTTCTAATAGAATATTCACCAATACAGTTTGTAATTATGCTTGTTCTTATAAAGCAATCTGCTTTAGGGTAGCATGTGACTTTTTGTATATTGGAACTTTGGTTACATATGGTTGATTCTGACACAAAACTTGAATTTGGTGTATTGGTAAGATAAAGATCAGTATCAAAACAATATGTTAGAAAATGTTGGTAAATATATTATTATAAGATTTTCGGGAACAACAATGCATGTAAATGCATGACTAAGTAGGAACTAAGTAAAGTGTATATTAGATGGCTTTGAAATGGAAATATTTGTATACTATAAACAATGATATTATCCGATCATTTCATGTTATAACAAGAGCCATGTCAACATGGCCATCCCCCACCGAATGTGTTTGCTCATTTGAAGAATGTATATGCAGTGCAGAAGTATTCAATTTTAGAGGTACATCTTTAACACTTTTTGAGATAAGCTCCGGACAAAAGAGTAGGAAAAAGAACAAGGGCAATAACTAAAATTATAGGGAAGAGTTATCATTGTTGCGCACAGCATTCCTCCTCAGTAAGATCTATCCACCTATGATGTTTCATGTTGACATCTCAAACACTTTGAGTTATGCTCTACTCAGGTAAAAATTTAATTATAAAAAATAACAAAGGGCAATAACTCAATAATTATGAACGGTAGAGTTATCATTTTTGTGCAATACATACTGTCTGAGTATGATCTATCCACTCATGAAGTTTCATGTTGATATCTCAAAGGCTGTTTGAGTTATGCTCTAGAAAAATATAATTTTGAAAAATAACAAAGGACAATAACTCAAGCATTTTTGCAGAGTTAATAGCCCAAGAAGAAAAATACATTTTGGGCTATTGATGAGGCCACATTTGTGATCACTGATCGCTCTTGTATATACTAAATATTAACTTACATCTAATCATAATATATTGCCGACCGGTTTCTATGTCATCAGGTATTAACTAAATGACGGTTTAACTTTTATTAAAATTAGAACAAATATGAAACATTGTTTTTTTTACAGAAAAAAGGGAACTTTCCTAGACTGCATTGGCAAGACAAAGCTTTTTCAAAGAAATGATGAATACAAAAACATTAAAATTATTGTTACGGAAAAGTAATCTTAGAATCACGAGCTGGGTGTTTGCAAAAAAACTTAATTTTTACTCATTGCTCAGTAATACTCGTAGTTAGTTCAAGTAACGCATTTGAGCTAATAGGTCCCTATACACATTCGAACTAAAATAAATTTCGTAAAATCTTAATAATTGAATAAAAGCAATAACCCTCATGAATTTCTATAATTGTTTATATGTGGAAGTTTCAAGTAAATACCTTATTTTAGAGATTTGCAGGTATGTGTAATTTGTGGAGAATTTTATGTTTTAAACAAACACGTGGTTTATCTACAACAAAATACAAAACGAATTATTAAATTTGGTCTACTTAGTGGTCATAAGGTTTCATGTAGATACCTACTGATTTAAATTTGTTTAGCATTCCAAACATTCAATAAATTCTTTAATTTTATTTAGTAAATACACCCGTTTGTCTAACTAACATATATTTATAGAAAATTTAGACATTAAGTAAAGTTGGCTTTTAAAGAGACGCATCATATTTTTATCTGACCTAGCTGAAAACGAAACTAAAATTTTTGGATAATCTAAATTTAGCTTTAACATACAGGAAGAATACGGGTAAGTGTATAAATATATTACTTACTTATTATATACAAATATGCATTTAAAAGTATTTTTATGAGTGTTTAATATGTTTACCAAAGCGATCGTTGATAAAAAATCATTTACCTAACTGAATCGTGAGAAATTATATTTTCAAAACAAGTGTAGACATCTAAACAGAAAGTAGAATGTTTTGAAAACTAATGGTTTTCATTTTCAAACCATATCTGTCTATTTCAGTTTTAACTTGTTATACTTTTTAATTTCAAATATTTGATCACCTAAAAACAATCTATTGATAATAACATTTTGCAAGACCCTTCAAAGGCTCGGGAAAAATCGGAATATTTCGACATGTTCCGTGTTTCATAGTTATATTAGAATGGAAGGTTATCGATTCTGTCAATTGATATATTTTGAAAAGGACAGTGTACATTATTTATTATTTACTTATCTACCTGTTATTATATTGATTCTGTAAAGTCTTTTCTCAATAGAATTAATGCAGCTTTAACATACAGGAATAAAACAGGTAAGTTTGTATATCCATTTTCTACTTATTACATAAAGTATGCATTTAAAAGTCTTTATGACTATTTAATATGTTTAGATATGATTTGATACCATAACTGAATCGTGAGAAATTATATTTTAAAAACAAGTGTAGATAGAATGTCATGAAAACTAATGGTTTTCATTTTTGCCATATCTATCTATTTCAGTTTTAAATTGTTATTCTTTTAATTTCAAATATTAGATTATATAAAAACGAACTAATATTAACGATTATTAAATTTTGCTAAGACCCATGAAAGGATCGGGAAAATTCGGAATATTTCGACAATTAACGCGTTTCCAAAGGAAATGTCAATCGACAACTTCATAGTTATACCCAGCCAACATTCTATATCGGCCCGACATAAAACCGACATGGTTTTCTATGACGGCCCGATGTCGGCTTTAACATCGGCTGCAAATAGGAATGATGTTGGCCCGACATCGGCAGAACAATATCGGGCCGACATCTTAACGATATAGGCCCGATATTTCTTGCCGACATCGGGCCTACATCAAAACAATGGCGGTGCGATGTCAGCCAACATTAGAAAGATATCGGTCCTATATCGACCAGGTACATGTATCATCCTTATGCTAGCATGTTGATGACATCTAGCAGCAAGCATTTGGCACAACCTGCAAAAAACACAAAATAAAATATAATTATTCTACAAAATTAGACAATAAAGACACATATTTTAACTTAAATGTGCAAATGACAATCACTACCCGCGAAATCATGTGACAAATATTTTCAAACATGATTTTACATCTAAAAAAGAGACAAACAGATAAATTGTGTTTTTCCAATAATGTTAAGTGTAAAAATCAAATTATTAACAGCGTTTACAGATTTTTGAATCATCATTACATTAATAAAAAACATGCTTTTCATAACCTTCCTTTGTTAGCTTTTCTTTTTGGCGCTTAATCTGTTAATTGTAGGACTGCGGTGAATATTTTCAAGCTTTTCATTTAAGATATAATAAAAGAGTGATTTTTATGTAGTCAAAACGTAAATATTGAATTTAATAACAAACCACATATCATTTCCAAACTCATCTATGATTATTTTAGAAATTCATATCAAAAATTACAATTATTTGCTGCATGATTTTTAATTCAACAGAAAACGCAATATCGTACCGATGCCAATCCGATATACAAAATACTTGCATTGATAGGTCATGTAGGCCCGACGCAGACCCGATGTATCTTTTTTGATCTAACACAAAATGTGGTTGATATTGTTCTAGTAATTGAAATCATACACAGGACAATTTATTCACATTATTAAGTCAATAATGGCATTGCAATTAGAATTTTTCAAAATATTCAATATGTCGGCACTGCAGCGGCCCGACGTCGGCCAATAGTCGGCATATTTTGCCGACATGCCGACATTAATCCTATATCGGCCCGATATGGTGATGCTAGCTGGGTATTAGATGGAAGAATTTTTAAACGCGCCTGTTTATTGATATACATGTATATCTAAAAGAAATTTGTAAATATCATTTATCTACCTGTTATATATTGATTTTGTCAAGTCTTTTCTCAATAGAATGAACATATTGCAACAAAACAATTATCAACATGCATAACATTAAAAACGGTGATGCAAATACTGTACCCATCGTGCATATCATGGGCTTATTTCTTACAGTCTTAGAGAATTTTGTGAAGCTGGAAATGTTTCAATAGGACACGGGTGCCCCCTCACGCCACTGTTATGTCAATTTTATGATTCTAGGTCAAATATTTTTTGGACAACATGTGCCACAAGTTAAAAACAAAAAAATCTTTTACTAAGTAAAGGGCAGGAACTTTACAAATACTGAATTAATCCACAAGCAAACCCCAAGGTGCGGAAGTACACATACTGACAACATTCTTGTAAACTTTCAGGCCTACAGGTCAAATACTTTTTGAGCTATGCATGAACAAGTTGAAAATTGCAAATTAATACTACTGTAGGTCAAGGGCAATAACTCTAACAAAACTGAAACAAATCCACATTCAAAGCCCCAGGAGCATAGCTTCACAGTGATGTTGATCACTATTCCTGTAAAGTTGGTTGATTCTCACTCAAGCACTCAATGAACAAATAACACAACATAATGAAACGGTTTTTACTAAGCCAAGGGAAATAACTCTACAAATGCTGGATAAATCCACAACCCAAGGTGCAAAACTACATATGCTTAGCAACAGTCCCGTAAGGTTTCATGGCTCTAGGTCAAATCCTTTTTGAACTACATGCAACACAAGTTGAAAATTGCAAAATTTTACTAACTCAAGGACAATAACTCTAAAAATATTTAATAAATCAACTCGAAAAAAACCCAGGTGCACAACTGCTGCACATGCTGATCAACATTCCTGTAAAGTTTTATGACTCTTGGTCAAATCTTTTTTGAGTTACATGTGACACAAGTTGAAAATTGCAAATGTTTACTAAGTCAAGAACAATAACTTTAAAAATACTAAATAAATCCACATGAAAATACCAAGGAGCACAACTACAAATGCTGATCAACATTTCTGTAAAGTTTCATGAGTCTGGGTCAAATACTTTTTGAGTTACCTGTGACACAAGTAGAAAATTGCAAATTTTTACTAAGTCAAGGGCAATAGCTCTAAAAAATACTAAATAAATCCACACGAAAATACCCAGGTGCACAACTGCACATGCTGATCATCATTCCTGTTAAGTTTCATGACTCTATGTCAAATACTTTTAGAGTTACGTGCGACACAAAAGAAAACAGACTGACAAAAGGACGGATGGACAAGGGAACATCTAAATGACCCCCCTCTAAAGTCGGGGCACACAAAATTTACGAAATATATGCTTGTTTTGAAAACGTAAACATAATTTTCAAAGAGGTCAAGTTTAGCTGACGTACCATGCATGATAAACAACATAGTCGTTTCATTTTGTCTCAATACTTGAGAATTGAATGAACTTAACTCAAGTTTATCTTACGACATCAGCATAACACATTTAGACTCACAAGCGTTCGGCACATTGTCCTGCCAACAATGGTCAATTTTTTATAAAATAACCTCTCCTTGATGATCAAGACTAGCTTCCATTTAATATATACAGTGAAATTTGAGAAAACCGGACGCTGAGAAAATCGGAACTCTCTAAATACCGGACGAATAATTCAGTCCCAAATTTTCCCTTCTTAAAACTATTGTATTAAACATTGACAATACCGGAATCTGTAAAAACCGAATATCGGACGGTTGATTGGGGACTACAAAGTCAATTATATAGACAATTACCCTGACAATACCGGACGACGAATGTGTGAATAACCTTGTGTACTTATCAATTGGCTAATACGTTAACTGAGCGGAAACGGAACAATGATTGTCTGATTTGTTTATAATGTCTCTTTTCACAGTTTGATTTATTGTAAGGTATAGATGTTACCGTTTTATATAAATGCCAAAATGCACGAGGAATTGATCAGGTAAAATCAGTATGAATAAACAATAGAGTATTTTTTCTACTGTGTTGCTTTTTGTATATTCATTTCCTAAAATGAAAACGACATTTATCGGCGCTAAAGTCTATTCCATGGCCGAAAATAATTCGACGAGAGCTGTCTACAAGTGTCAAAGTTAAATTAATTAAAGACAGTGAAACTTTGCCGAGACCTACTTTTAAAATCGGATCAATATGTTATTATTATAAACAAACAAAGTAAACTATGTTCGTTAAATCATTACCCATTACCCAGATGTAAACATATGCGGATGTACTCGGACTTGATCGTTATGAGGTAACTTCTGTTCATTTAAATCCAAACTTTAATTGTATTTATATGCAAAAATGGGACAAAAACTGTTACAATTAAAACATATTTTCTTGTTTTTTTATCATTCTTTATTTAGCAATTAACGTACACATGATCATGAAAATGCAAATATACAGCATCCTTTGTAAGTCATTGCCCGGTTATAATATGAGATCCTGAACAACTGAAGGGGACATTGAGAATACCGGACCGCTGAGAAAACCGGACAAAACCCTCAGTCCGAAAGCCGTCCGATTTTCTCAAATTTCACTGTATAACATTTATACAAGGTATATAATTCGCCGTAGAGTATTCCCCTTGGCATATAATATATCATTCAGTAACCGTTTAAATTATTAAGTCATCTTTATTCATTTACGATAAATAAATTATCAAACGTGAAGAATTACCGTACAATTGTGAGGTCGACATGTTTTATGCAAATGAAAATTCCAAGATTATACCACAAGTAGACATACATTTAGCTGTTAGCCAAATATAAATGTGCAGAACGGGTGTCTTTAGATTAAGATATCTGCTTTTGTCGAAATAGTTTTCACATATCTATCTATGTCAAAAAAATGGTCATTAATATTGAGTATTAATGGGAAGTGTAACCGGTTTCTATAATTTCAAAAGACCAAAAATGCTTTTACCATTTTCAGTTAATATCAGCTCATACAGCCGAACATTCTGATATCGTATTAGTTTCCAGAATGTCACAAGAAAAAAAGATCAGCTGCAGCAGTTCTGAAAAAGAAGAACTACAGGATAAACAGATATTGGTCAACAATGAATTTTGTGAAGAAAATGGAATCGGAGACCTAACGTTTATTGTAGAGAATCACAAAATACCTGTTTCTAAGACAGTACTGTGTATAGCATCCCCAGTGTTCCGTACCATGCTAAAAGGTCACTTCCGGGAGAAAACGGAGACTGAGATACCATTACCTGGCAAAAGTTACGAAAGCTTCGTTGAATTCCTGAGATGTATTTATCCTGACAAGACAAAAAAGGTGAAAGGTAATTGCTATAACTTTTAAAGTGTATTTTTAAGGACCCAAATGTGCACCAAAACGAATCTACTTTTATTCTTTTATTTATATTTTTTTCTCTTTTCTAGACAGTTTTGTTAGTTTGTTTAGATTAGTTTTCTAATCTTCAATTATTAATTGTATTCACCATTACATATCAAAAGGAATGATATTTGCATATGAAATTAGTTTTTTTGTTGCAATTATGTATGTTTTTGTTTTTATTTTTGACCTTTAAAATTTACAAAGTGACTTTAAAGAGTTTCCACTGAGGTTTTTTGACATGATGGGACTGAAAATATTCTTTTCGAGATAAATGTACCATTTGATAAAGGTGTAGACCACGAATCTTTGTGCAACTTTTCAGAACATTCGCGCACTTAATTTTTCCAGAATAATTATTCAAATTGTAAAAAAATGACCCAAAATAAAAAGCGATTAAACGCTTTTCACTCAAATTAGGCTAAGAAAAGCATAAAACTACGATTTTTGATTTATTTTAAAGTATATTTCTTAACTATCTTTGCAATATATTTCTGTATAAAGCGCCCCAGTTCATTTATGTAAGAAATTCTTATGTTATGTTTTTAGACTTTTTAACCTCAGTGGAGTCCCTTTAAGTAACAAATAATGATAGCTTTAGCCTTTAGTATTTCATCTTAAATAAGCGTATGAAGAAATGCAGTTGCGACCCGAATTCGATCTGCTGACCTATCACTTCATAACCAAGCATGTTACCCCTAAGCTAGAGGCTTCCAATACAGTTATCAAGAAAATGTTAGAGTAAAACAAATGTTTCTCTAAATTTAGAATTAGAGTTAGTAATCATCTTAAAAGCTGAATGCCTCTAGATGAGTCAAAATATCTCAAGAAAATTAACTTGAGAAAAATGTACAAAGATTCTATGAAAAATATTTTTTTCAAGATTCCAGTAAAAATTCACATGGTGTGTGATTAATTATTCATTTTGCAGTTTTTATCACCATATCTCTACTGTGTTACTATCGCGGTAAGATATTTTTGTTAATTCACGCGGATTGTAAATGCTGTTTTCAATTTGTAAATTATTAAAAGTGCAAAATTCAACCATTTTAAAGTGACATTATGCTCATTGTTTTGACTATATATTTCAAAAGACTGACTGTTAAAACATGTAAAGCCCATCTAAATACTCGTACCCACTCTTTTGAAAAAAAGAGGACGTTGGTGGACAATATGTTACAGCTAATATCCGATATATAATTATATAAATTTACTTGGGTCACGTGAGTTATTTATCGTTAAGCAAGCTTAATCATAAAACTGAAAGGAATCATGGCAAAAAGTAAGCTCAGTACCGATCTATCGAACACATTTGCCCTCGCCTTCCAGGTCCGAGAAGTCGAAATTCAACTACATATTTTTGTTATCAATTACAGTAAAACACTAGGATTACACAGGGAGAATGTCCGTTAAACATGGGAAGAAAAGTTTACGTTTAACTGTAAAAAATGCAACGGGCATAGCATTACTTTCACTTTCGTACATCTGGATAATTATTTTAAAGCTAAACACAAATCATTTAAAGAAAACTGACTCTAAAGATATGGCACCAAATCTTGAGTGTTTAACGTAGCTTTGATAAGCAATTATGTATGCAATAATCTTCCGAAAGTGCTAGAGAGTGTCCTGTTAGTCACTTGATGCTAATTAAAGTGAATTTAATAAACAATCAATGACATGAAGCATAAGGTGACTCACATCAATTATCAAATACTTACTTTGCATTCTCATATTGTTGTCATATAATTTTCTAGGTCTCTATAGCAAAAAATGATACCTTTTAGAAATTTAAGTATCAGTTGAATGCCTGAAGGTGAACCACAAATCATCCAATTTAGATATAAGAACGGTACTATACTACTAAATACTTTGTTGCGAACCATTTATAAGTAATTTGTTTCGTCTACTGCTGACCGATGAAATAAGTAATTTACTTATTAATGTTTTCTAAAAATGCCAAGAATAATGCATACATAAGACACCATGCTTGTGTATAGAATTCAAAGCGTATTTTATCCTGTAAGCCAATGCTCTACATCAATCTTTTTCCCAGTCCAAGAAAACAAGCAAAATCAAAGTTATCAGAGAGACTCTCTGATACTTTCCGAATTATCAAAGGAACTTTTGGTCATTAGAAAAATCGGGCAAAATTTTAATATTTACTTTCCATTATAAATAGGTCATTATCGCTGGCAAAGAAACATACCACAAATGAACAAGTAAATATGTACAAATGAGAAAAAGATATGGAAATTTTACTAACATCTACCAGATTGAAGAGATAAAAAATTGACTAAAAAGTTTGTTCTGACACATAATACAATATGTAAGGCAAGAACAATCGTCAAAGTTTGATTTTAATTAGTATTACAAACTCTCTTTGTTTAAAGATGAAAATAATTATTTCTGACGATATTTGTGTTGATATATTCACAAGTTTTCCAACGAAATCCCTGACAGTTATCAGAAGTACTCCTAAAAAGTTATCAGAAGAACTCCATCCATCGAGTAACAGTTACTACCCTTACACATGTGTCCACACTTTATACTCTTGGATGGGCATAATGTCACTTTATGCATCAATAGTACATTGTATTCAATTGCTAATAAGATTTTGTTGTTCTTTTTATCTTTCTCCAGAAAAAAATGTGTACATGCTTCTCCCCTTGGCTCATGAATATAACGTTGAGAAAATGATGAAACGTTGTCAAAAAGTGATCATGCAAATAATAAAGAATAGGCACACAAGGAATGTGGAAGAATTGTACCGGCATATACGTTTGGCTGAACTTTATAGCATAGAAGAAATGAAAGAAAGATGCATTTATCTGGCCTCAGAGAATACTCTTAAACAGTTCAAAGCTGCCAGAACGATGTATCAAATATCGGATGCAAACTATCTCACGATCATAGAGCTGGCTCTGAGAAGGAAAGAGCTTGATAAAGATGATGAAAAGGGCCTATCTTTAATAAAAAAAGAATCGAATGATTTTTTTATTGACCAAGTTACTTTCACTCTCAAAGGGAAAATTGACATGAGAGAAAAAGCTTCAACAAGATGTTTGAAATCATTAAGACTGGCTGAAAGATTCAACATTCAATTTGACAAATCAAAACTACTTGACACTCTGAGGCATTCTTACAACAAAATCAAAGATAATGAAGAATTTGACCTGCTTCCAGACACCATTAAATCTGCTTTAAAGAATTGAAATTAAGTATTTTTGTTATTTTAAGACTAAGACTAGATACCTGTCTGTCACACTTCTGTTTTGATATGAACTTATTTCATCTGATAATATTATAAAACATTTTACCTGCACAGATCAAAGATAAATTTGAATGTTTTCCTTAAATTTTGCATGCACATTTTTATGTTACAATAGAAAAGTCTTTTTCACACTCATTTCATTGTTGATGAGCATGATGTAACATTACATAGCTTGACGTACATTTTCGAAACTTTGTTATGTCACGAAGGGCAGCAAATTTAAATCGAACCGTCTGTCTGTCCGTCCGTCTGTGAGTCAAAACTTCATTCATATCCGGACTGTAATTTTGTCAAACATTGAGGGATTTTGAAATAACTTGGCACAAATGATGCAACATCAAGCCGATGCGTCGCGTTTAAAAACCACGCCCATACTGCAAAGGTCAAGGTTAAAATAACATTTTGAAGTTTCATATTATCACGATAAGAGTTAGTAGGTACACGCAATTATGTCCTGGCTATATATATAAAGGATTATAGAATACCTTGGTATCAATGTTTTCCACATCAAGACAATGAGGGTTATTGTGTCACGTCCAATAACTATGTCCCTATCTCAAAGGTCAAGGTCACTCTTTCATTTTGAAGTTTCGGTTTATAAAAATAAGAGTTTATAGGTACACACATTTGTGGTCGGACTGTAATTTTTTCATGCATCGAAGGATCTTAGAATAAATTAGCATAAATGTCTACCACACCAAAGTGATGTGACGCGTCTACGAATCACGCCCATATCTTAAAGGCCTTGAATACACTACCATTTGTAAGCTCACTTTATCACAAATAAAGTTTATAGGTGCATACATTAGTGTCCGGACTGTAACTTTGCAATTCATCGAAGTTTTTTAAAATAACTAGGCATAAATGTCAACACAAGACGACATGTCGCGTCGCGTACAAAAATTTACCTTCAAGGTCAAGGTCACACATATAATTTGGTATTACTCATTCTCTCGAGAAAAGTTTGAAGATACGCATTCATGTCCGGGTTGGAACTTTGTCATGCAATGAATGATTTTTAAATAACTTCACAAATTTCTAGCACATCAAGACGATGTGTCACAGCTTAGGCTTATGTCCGTCTGTCCGTCCGTGCGTCCTCGCTTACACAACTATTATGTCCGGACTATAACTTTGTCATGCATTGAAGAGTGTTTAAATAACTTGGTACAAAAGTCTACCACATCACGATGACATGTTGTATGTAAAATCCATATTCCTACCGCAAAGGTCAACGTTACTCTAATAGTTTGAAGGTACATATGATAAGATTTTGAAGATACACATAAAATGTATCGCATCCAAGACCCTTGTCCCAAGGTGTTAAGCTTGCTATAAATAGCACTTCATTTCACAAAAAAATTATTAAGCAATTAGTTACTTAAATTCTCGTTTTTTTCATAATACCAGCATGCTTAAGAAACCTTTTAAGGGGCATTTGTCACTTGCATGACAGCTCTTGTTCTCGTTATTTTCAATAATTCTCGTTTAGCAGTATTAATAATAGAACCTGATAAAAAGGTTTAAAAGAACAACTTTGTAGTCCTAAAGTTACAAAACAAGACCAGTAACGAGTTCGCAAAAACAAGATCAGGACCGAGTTCAATCTTACCAAAATCGTTAAAAAATATTATAAAGCCTCGAAAAAATCATTCATACATTGTACGTAGAAACCAGCTGTGGCATCTAAAATAGATTAATCATCATCATCATCTCAAGTAATTGCATCGCTCCGCAAGGAGTAAGCTCGCAATCGGACAAAAACTGTATATACATACGCAGCAGGCAGGACTGACTGTTTTCCAAAATAAAAATAAAAAGTTCCCCTATTTAAAGTTTCTATTAAAAGAGAAAAAACAACTCCGTGACTAGTATTTTATATGTTGGCTGGCCAGAGCTGATTGGAAAGCATCCAGGCTGGTCTAGTAAACAACGTTTGGGGGAGCTTGTTCCGAAGCACGATGGTTGCGGAGGAGGAGAAACTCTTTTGGAAGATGGAGGTACGTGCTCTGATTTGCCGGAAGCGTTGGTTGTGCCCTCTGATAGTCGGGATTAAAAGCCATCTGCCAAACATCCTCCCAGGATTGGAGACTATCAAGGTCATGTTGAAGTTGGCTGAGTCCTCGGGGCTACGGATGATTCTATACAGGAGGCAATCATCGGCGAAGAGTCGAGCCGTAGATTGGACTTTAGATGGTTAATCATTAATGCAGGCCAAGAAAATAAGAGGGCCAAGGACGCTGCCATGAAGGACACCAGAGGTGACAGGTGAGGTAGCTGAAAAGGTGCCCTCAAGGACAACCTGTTGTGCGCGTGAAGAAAGTCTTCAATCCAGGAGTGAGTTGTGCCTCTTATTCCATTTTTCACAATATGCTCATGGGTGAAAGGGTTAAGTAAATACCTTATTTTAGAGATTATGAAGATATGTATAATTTGTAGACATTTTTAAGTTTTGATAAAGAACGTGGTATAACTTTATCAAATTTAAAAAATGTTGTTAAATTTGGCCTTTTCACCCTTCATATATGGTTTCATGTTAATACCTACTGGTTTAAATATGTTTAACATCCAACAAATCATTTGATTGTATTCAGTAAATACATTTTATATCTAAATAACATTTATTTAACATACAGAATTCAGACATAAAGATAAAGTTGACTTTTAAATATTTGAAATTATATAAAGATACGCATCGACGTCTTATTCTTCCTTTCGCTCATGAATATAACGTAGAGGATGATGAAGACGTGCTTATGCGCACAGTTAGGAAAAGTAACAAAGAGAATGTTGAAGAATTGTATCGGCATATCCAATTCTCTGAAATGTATAGCCTAGAAAATTGAAGGAGAAGTGCATTTATCTAGCTTCAGAGCATACTCTTAAACAATTTAAAACTGCTAGAGAAAAGTACAAAATAACAGATGTCAGCCATGATAAGATTAAAGAGCTTGCCCTGACAAGACATGAGCTGAATAAAGCTGATGACAAAGTTTTTACAGCAAGGGCAAAACTCCATCTGTATTCTTCTCTGGACGCGGTGCAGTGTGACTTTAATGGGAAATTAATTATAGATGGAAGAAAGGCAAGCGATGTTTGCCAAGCATTAAGAGTAATTGAAAGATTTAAATTTACTACAGATAACTCAAACATTAAGTCAAACTTATTGGAAAAGTTACAAATCTTTTATGACAGTGAAGAAGATATGGAAGAATTTGATCTTCTCCCAGAAAATGTTAAAGCTGCTATACAAAACAGAAACAGAAGTTAAGCATGTGTTGTTGTAAAATAATACGAGTGATGAACATGAAATTAATCTATAAGGAAGGTTTGATTATCATTTAGAGTATTATCCTGTTTACGATAATTAGTTTTTATATCTATAATTAGTGTTCTATCCTAGCGACAATATCAGAAATCAAATATAAATATTCTTATTTATCAGTGTGTTAAATGTAGTACTAATAATACATAACGTCACAATAAAATTAAAAAATGTAAGCATTCAGCTAAAAAAATAAAGTTCATAGAAAAAAATACAATAAAATATGACATTAAGAATTAAAAACATGTAAAGATATACATAATCTATGAAATGATTTCGTGTTTGTTGCTAGAACTTTGTACTAACAAATTACTATATATAACATAATTATTTAAATATAAACAAAGTTCAATAATTTGACCTGGACAGTCAAGGTCATTCAAAGCTCAATGTCAATGTCAGTTTAACCTTCTAGGAGGTCTTTTCCAAAATGTTGTTTTGCCAAATATGAAGATAATCCATTAATTTATTACCAAGTTAAAGTCAAAAATCAATATAAATTCAATAATTTAATCTTCAAAGTTAAGTTCATAAAAGAATTAAGATAAATATAAGTTTAATTTACATGTTAGCCTTTCTCTAAAGAATATTTTGATATAATATGAAGTCAATCCATTTCAAAACATAATAATAGACAGTTATAGCAAAAAACATAAATAAAATAAAAAAAATATGTAAATGAAAATAATGAAATGAAATATGAAAATTTCATTAATTTAACTTTCAAGATCAAATCATTTATGAGTGATGGTCAATAGCTCTCTGATAACCTTAAAGTCTATCCTAAAAATTATACATTATTTTCAAGTTTGAAGACAACCCTTTTAAGAATAACAAAGTTATAGCCACTAATATTTACAAAAATCAGCTAAAACAAGCAAAATATAGACATTTAATCTTGAAGGTCAAGAAAAGCAGGTCTTTATAAAGATTTTGTCCCAAGGGATGTTGTAGTCAAGTATGAACACAAGACATCAAGAACTTAAAAAGGTTAAACGTTGATGACGGCAAGCTGAAAGACGATTGACGTCTGAAATACGGAAAGTTCATATTAACAAAACAACCGGATAGGACTTTATAGAATTAAGAAACGTAAAAACACTGAATAAGTGTTTGCCAAAACATTGCTGGGTTTACAATGTAATTATCTTAATATGTTATGAAAACATTCTGTTATTAACGATATAATGACTACTTTAAATATTAAGATATATTGTAGAGAATGTATATGATCTGTATGTACTTTAATACTAGCTTAAATTAGTTCATTTCTTTACTGTATAATACGTCTTACTATTTTAAACATGTGCAAAGTGTATGTCTTGTGTAATAAAGTATAATTGCTTGATATGTATTGTTACTTTCAAGCGCCAGCATATCTTATGTGTTCGCATTTAATATACGAAAAGAATAACTGACAACTTGTGATATTTCTCATTTTTATAAATTGTCGACTGGTTTCTATGTCCTTAGGTGTTGACTGTATGCTGGTTTACTTTTTATTTAATACGAAACTTTTTTTAAAAGTAAAACGTTATTTTCCCGAATCGCATTTGCAAGTGTGGCTTTCAATTTAAAGCTGTGTCAACAAATTATAGAAACGAAAACGTTCAGGATCTCTAGCTGCGTCGGTTCAAACGCAGTAAAGAACATGCGTTTGCTTCCTTGAGCAAGAATTACCCATTACTCCTGAGAGATTTCGAGCTGATACCTACACGTTCGAACTAAAATAAATTTTGTTTGTTCGTTAGATTGGTATTCACGTCACGCTGGCACATAAAAGGTCATTTGGCGATGTTAAAGCATTCCTGGTGGAGGAAGACCGCAGGTGCCCTTCCGTGTATTCTTTAAGGCACGAACGGGTACCTGAGTAGAACCACCGCCGTTCCGTAAGCTAGCTGGATAGCTTTCTCACATGAAAGAATTCAAAGTCCATGTCGGGATTCGAACCAACAGCGGTGAGGGGCAAGTGGTTTGAAGTCAACGACCTTAACCACCCTGCCACGGACGCCCCGAATAAATTTTGTATAAACTAAATAATTGAATAAAAGCAATAACCCTCATGAATTTCTATTATTGTTTAATCTGTGGAAAACTTTCTTATTTGTGTTACATGAAACAATTTGTGATATTGTCTTTTCATGAATAAACAGAGAAAATATATCGTAAGTTTATTTATGGCCCATCATGTAACATGCAAAGCTTCAAGTAAATAACTTGCTTTAGAGGAAGCTATCCAGCTAGCTTACTGAAGTCGGTGGTTCTACTCAGGTGCCCGTTCGTTCCTGAAATAATGCACGCAAGGGCACCTGACACTTTCCTGCACCAGTGAAGCTGAAACGTCACAATATGTGTCGATGTGACGTAAAACCGAAAACAAAACAAAAACAAAGTATTTTAGAGTTTTGCAGGTATGTGTTATTTGTGGACTTTTTTGTGTTTTGGAAAAAAAAACGTTGTATAACTTTATCAAAATTTAATAAAAAATAAAAAGGTTGTTACATTTGGGCTACTGACTCGTCGTATATGGTTTAAATATGTTCAAATAACATCTCACATATTCTGTACTTTTATTCAGTAAATACATTTGTTGTCCAAGTATCATATATTTTTACAGAATTCTGACATATAAATGAAGTTGACTTTTAATGTTGAAGTTATACAAAGAAACGCACCATATCAAAATGCAAATTGTTTTTATCTGACCTCGCTGAAAACGAAAGTACAATTATTTGAAAAAGAATACGGGTAAGTTTATTAACCTTTTGCTTACTTATTACATAACAAATATATGCACTTAAACGTTATGAATATTTTGAATATTTCCTATATTTTGATACCAAAACGATCGTTGATAAAAATTTATTTACATAACTGAATCGTGAGAAATTTTGTTTTGAAACAAGTTCAGACAACGAAACAAAAAGATAAAAGATAAAGATACGCAGCATATCTGATATCTGACCTAGCTTGAAACGAAACTAAAAGATAGAATAGAGGTATGTTTATTACTTACTTACTTACTTACTTACTTACTTACTTACTTACTTACTTACTTACTTTACGTATGTACGTTCTTACGCATTCACTCACTCACTCACTCACTCACCCACCCACCAACTCATTCTCTCACTCACATAAAAATATGCACTAAAACGTCTTAATGAATGTTTAATATGGTTTGATACCAAAATGAGCGCTGACATTAATTAATAAATTATTAAATTACTTTACCATCTCTATTGAATTGCGAGAAATAATGTTTTCAAAACAACTTTAAACATCGAACGAAAATTGTTTTGAAAACGATTGGTTATCATTTTTAAACCAGCTCTATCTATTTCAGTATGAACTTGTAATACTAGTAAGAGCTTAATTATAAATTTTTATTTCAAATATTTAAATAATCACATAAAAACGAACTATTGATAATAATATTTGAAAGGCTGGTAAAAATCGAAATATTTCGACATATCCCGTGTTTCATAGTTATCATACTAGATAAGAAATGTCAGTTTTATGTTAATTTGACGAATGATTAACGCTCCTATCAATAGATTTTATTCGAATAGCATTAATCTAGTTATATATTGATTTTGTCAAGCCTCTTTTTAATAGACTGATTGCAACAAACAATTATTTAAGAGGAAACACTGTTATACAAGTACAGTACACGTTTGTGCATATCACGAGGTTATTTGTTACAGTCTTACTTCAAGTGTTGTATGACAGCTGTAAAAAAATGCCCCATACTTCACTTCAGTGTTTTATATTTTTCTGGTCATTCGGGATCATTGATGCCAGCACTATAAAGTGTTGAGAATTTAAAACCGCTCAAGCCGGTGCTAGGGGGCGTGAGGGATGTCGCACGTATTCATTATCCCTCATGTACAGACTCAAGCAAACCGAGTCTGCAATTCTCTTGTAATTTTGTTGTGATTAAGGCTTCCGACAGATCACTTGTTTCCAGATTTTTAGAGAGTTTACAAAACGTCTGCAAAAATAGGTGCTTGTTTTCGAAAACCAACAACTGTTATAAATGGAATTGAAAAATTAAATATAGAATATAGACAAAATTTTAAAACAGGTCGAGTTGACTGATGTGCCATGCTTGATAAACAACATATTTATTTCAATGTGTCAAATTGCTTGCGAATATTCTGGACATACCATGAGCTTGGTAAGTTTATCTTATGTTTCATAATGTGGCATAACCATCAGCACTCAGCACATCCCGTTTATATACAGAGATCTACCATTGCCAGATTTATATTCGCATTCAACTTATTTCCCTGATAATAAGATCTAAAAGAAAAGGCATTTATATATAAATATTTAATATATTTAAATTTGGTTGATTGACCAGTTTCTATTTTACTGAAAGACCAAACAAGTTTTTAAATCAAAGTCAGCTCATGCAGGGATATGTTCTATCGTCTTAGTTTTCAGAATGTCACAAGGAAAGAATATCGGCGACAACAGTTATGAAACAAAAGTAGATATTAGTCAACAATGAATTTTGTAAAGAAAATGGAATCGCAGGCCTAACATTGATTGTAGAGAATCACAAAATACCTGTTTCAAAGGCAGTTTTGTGTGTAGCATCCCCAGTGTTTGTATTTGTATCGTTTTTTGTTAACTATATTCTCTGCATGAACGGAATAGATCATTTGAATTATATATGATCTGGTATTCAAATTATTTAAACCTTTCACTGTAGAAAACATTTTATACTTGGTATAATGAACAGTTTAGATCATATTATTACGACATTGTAAACTGAACATAAAGCTTGAACATTATAACTTGTATAAACGTTATCACTATATATCATAGTTTGTAAAATAATTTCAAACCATCTCCAGCAATGTCTACAGAGATGAATGTCAACGACGAATTTCACAAAGGTGGTAAATTGGCAGATGTGACACTCGTTGTTGAGGATCATAAAATATTAGTTTCTAAGGCAATACTTAGTATCGCTTCGCCTGTGTTTTGTGCCATGTTCGACAGTGACTTCCAGGAGAAAACAGAGAAGGAAATACAATTACCCGGAAAGAGTTACAAAGATTTTGTTGAGTTTCTAAGATGTATTTATCCTGACAAGACGAAGAGGACAACCGGTATAGAATGGTATTTTAGTCTTATATTGTTAATGTTAATACCTATTCTTTGAAATAATATAGTTTTATCTTAAATGATGGTTTTAACGCAATTTTCAGTGTTGAACTTAAGATAAACATTTACATCCAAGTATTGTCAAACTAGTTAATTTATTTTTATTGATCAATGTAGAGATATCATACTCATGTGTCAGCGTTTTTGTCACAATGTTGGTTAATGTTTTCTATGGAAAGCATTGACTGCCTTATGATTATAAAATGAACGTTGTTGTATCACTCTTTTTTTACAATGTCCACTCATGAATATATCATGTTGACTCAATATATTGCTATTTGGACGTTTTATATTTATAAGACAGTCAAGGCTTTCAATAGTTTTCTTACAATACCAATTATTTCCAAACTTACAATATTTGTCAGTCACCATCATCCTCATTTCAAAACGTGTAATGGTTGAGTGTGATGTCTTACTAACAGTTGTTGTTTAGTCTTCGCAATAATTTTAAAGAAGACAATTTAAAAATGGTGTCCTTAATATACTTTATCTATCAACATTGTGTTAATCTTCCTTTTAAATGTGTTTATGATCAGAAGGAAACGTCTACATCCTTCTTCCTTTGGCTCATGAATATAACGTTGAGGGGATGATGAAACGTTGCCACCAACTGGTAATGGAAATAGTAAAGAATAAGCACAAAGGAAATATTGAGGAATTATACAGGCACATTCATCTTGTCTGAACTATATAGCCTGGAAGAAATGAAAGAAAAATGCATTTATCTGGCCTCTGAGCATACTCTCTACCGGCTTAAAGCTGCCAGAACGGCATACCAAATATCAGATGCCAGTCATTACAAGATAATAGAGCCGAGAGTTGTATATATTTGATGACAGAGTCTTTAAGGTTTGTAATACAAAGGAAGGAACATATCGGGAGGAAATAAATAAGAATTCAAGAAATTCTTACGGAATAATTGTGAATTAAAAGGACACATCTGCACGGAAGGAAATTGTAAAAGAGAGATTTACAGAGCATTGAGACTAATGGAAAGATTCAAAATTACTGAGAATCACAAACGCATCATGTCAGAGCTAATTGAACAGTTACAATATCATTATGATGATGGAGAATATATGGAAGAATTTCATCTTCTCCCAGAAAATATTAAAGATGCTTTACAAAATAAAAATATAGGTGACTGTTATTGAAAAGGATTATAATGAATGAATGTTTCTTTATATTTGTAACTTTTCAATGTGATAAAAACCAGTTTTTAAAACGTGTAAGAAATAAAACAATCTAAACTTTAGTCACATTGGTGGCTTTTGTAATGTAATACAAAACATTGACCTTTCCGTAAAATGAGTTCCCTGTTAAAGAATAAAAAAAATATTCATTCATCATAAATAATTAGTTTACACGTTTTCGTATTTAACAATTGTACTTACAAAGTCATAGCAGTGAAAGAAATATTGCGGCAAACAAGCATATATCAATTGGTCACAAATCTAAATTTTCTCTTTTCTCCAAAAAAGATTGAAAGTAAGAACAAACGCTGGTATTAGAATATCTAATTCATTTAAAATAAATAAAAAAAAATAAAACACTGTGATAACCAAACTGTTACTTGTTTGTATGACCTCTTCGTACTGCAATGACTGCTTGACAACAATTTCCAATTGACCTCAGAGACGGATAATATCTTTATAGAAAACTGTTCCAAATTAGGCATTCAATTAAATTCAAAAGATTATGTTCGATTAATTAGTTGAATGTGTCAGAATGTGTTCGGTGAAAGCCATTGCTCGTTTAACCACTAAACAAGGCAATAGTGTATTATGTTGTCTGAATATATTCAAGACACACCTAGACTTTTCACATGCAAACAATCATCGCTTAGCGACGTTATTTGTAACGTTTCTATAGAAAATTAAAGAAACCGAAAAAAAAAAACCCAGAGATTTTAACATAATTAAACATAAAAAAATTTAGAGGGCCACTATTGCAAAGGCTTGGCAATGCTTACGAACTGACATACCCGTTATATTTTACTCTTTTTTCTAATAGAATATTCACCAATACAAATTGTATTTATGCTTGTTCTTATAAAGGAATCTGCTTTCGGGTAGCATGTGACTTTTTGTATATAGGAACTTTGGTTACATATGGTTGATTCTGATACAAAACTTGAATTTGGTGTAATGGTAAGATAAAGATCAGTATCAAAACAATATGTTAGAAAATGATTTTCGGGAACAACAGTGCATGTAAATGCGTGACTAAGTAGGAACTAAGTAAAGTGTATATTAAATGGCTTTGTAATGGAAATATTTGTATACTATAAGCAATGATATGATCCGATCATTTCATGTTATAACAAGAGCCATGTCAACATGGCCATCCCCCACCGAATGTGTTTGCTCATTTGAAGAATGTATATGTAGTAGAGCAGAATTATTTAATTTTAAGAGGTCTTTTAGTAATGAAAACTGATGGCTGAAGTGATTACAGATTTAAAACCTATGTGAATACTGATGGCTGAAAATAACAAAGAGCAATGACTGAACAGTAATGCAGGGTAGGTTATCATTCTCGTGTGCTGCACTCCTCCTCAATGAGATCTATCCACCTATGAAGTTTCAAGTTGATACATCTTTAACACTTTTTGAGATAAGCTCCGGACAAAATAGTAGGAAAAAGAACAAGGGCAATAACTAAAATTATATAGGGAAGAGTTATATTGTTGGCCAGGCATTCCTTTCCTTTTCAAAACACATCCACCTATGAATGTTTCATGTTGCATCTCAAACATTTGAGTTATGCTCTACCTCAGGTGAAAAAATTTTACCCTTATGAAAAATAACAAAGGGCAATGACTCAAAAATTTTGAACGGTAGAGTTATCATTCTTGTGCAATGCATACTTTCTGAGTGAGATCTATCCACCCATGAAGTTTCATGTTGATATCTCAAAGGCTTTTTGAGTTATGCTCTAGAAAAAATTAATTTTGAAAAATAACAAAAGGCAATAACTCAAAAATTATGCAGGATATAGTTATCATTCTTTTGCACTGCACGCTTTCTCAATGAGATCTATCCACCTATGAAATTTAAAGTTGATACCTCAAATACTTTTTGAGATATGCTCCGGACAAAAATATCGGACGGACAGACGGACGAAAGGACGGACGAAGACTATTTCTATATCCCACGCCGCCTTTCGGCGGGGGATAATAAGCAAATAAAGGGTTCGTAAATCTTGGCTACAATAATTGAAATCTAACATAAATGATCTTACATGTATCGATCAGTGTGATAAATGTTGTATTTAACACAACAGCACAGTGGTATTCAAATATGTACGTTTTCATATAAGAAAGTAAAGTTTATTATAATATAACAACCGGAATCGATATTAAAGAATGTTAGAAATCTGAACACACATAATATCCCGCTAAATTTGCATGCGTGTTGCTTTTACCAACATATTGCATGTTTACAATGTAACTATCTTTAATATGGTTTGTGAATATGCTGTTATTAACAAAGTTATGACTACTTTAAATATTTAGATATATTGAATGTAGAGAATGTATGTGAACTGTACGTGTTTTAATACTAGCTCAAATTATTTTAGTTCTTTACTTTTTAATATGTCCTCTTACTATTTAAAACATTCTAAAAGTGTGTGGCTTGTGTAATAAAGTGTATTTACACGAAATGTGTTGTTATTTTGAATTTATGTTTTTGCATTTTTGTGTCGCCTGGTACTAAGTAGCTGCGAGATATACTTCTCCGTCGTCTGTCCGTCCATCTAACAGTCACAAAACTTGTCCGGACTACTCCTCAGAAACTACTGGTGCAAATTCATCCTAACTTTAAAGGAATGATCAGTACCAAGTCTGATATGAATATCATCGGTACTCATGGTTCAATAAATTTTGTAAGAGTTCTGGGCCTTTAATAATATTCATTTTTAAAGTCTGTCCGGAAGACTCCTCTAATACCACTTTCGAAATTTTAATGACACTTTACAGGACTGATTAATAGCTCAAGTCGCTTGAATGATATTTTGATGAGTTATGGCCCTTGGATAAAAAGTTTTTTGTATTTCCTGCTACACAGAAGCTTGTCAGAGCAACTTGTCAGAATTTACTGATGCAATTTCATTATGTTTAATTGTGCATATTGTCAGCATTTTCCAGTTCAATATTTCATTGTCAGACTTATGGAACTTTAATGATTTTTATTTTTTAAGTTTTGTCTAGACTACTTATCTTTTACTAATGATGCAAATAAAAATAAACTTTACAGGAGTCATCAGTACCTCAAGTACTTGTGCATAATTAGTTTTCGGGTGAAATGATTTTTGCAGAGTTTATAGCCCATGAAGAAAAATGCGTTTTGGGCTATTGATGATAAGGCCACACTTGTGATCACTGATCGCTCTTGTATATACTAAATATTAACTTACATCTAAACATAATATATTGCCGACCGGTTTCTATGTCATCAGGTATTAACTACATGACGGTTTAACTTTTATTAAAATTAGACCAAATATGAAACATTGTTTTTGACAGAAAAAACAGGGAACTTTCCTAGACCGCATTGGCAAGACAAAGCTTTTTCAAAGAAATGATGAATACAAAAACATTAAAAATTATCGTTACGGAAAAGTAATCTTAGAATCACGAGCTGGGTGTCTGCAAAAAAACTTAATTTTTACTCATTGCTCAGTAATACTCGTAGTTAGTTCAAGTAACGGATTTGAGCTAATAGGTATTTATACACATTCGAACTAAAATAAATTTCGTATAATCTTAATAACTGAATAAAAGCAATAACCTTCATGAATTTCTATAATTGTTTATATGTGGAATTAAGTTTCAAGTAAATACCTTATTTTAGAGATTTGCAGGTATGTGTAATTTGTGTAGTAGATTTTTATGTTTTTAAACAAACACGTGGTTTATCTACAACAAAATACAAAAACGAAATTTTATTAAATTTTGGTCTACTTAGTTGTCAAATAGGGTTTTCATGTAGATACCTACTGATTTAAATTTGTTTAGCATCCCAAACATTCAAATAAATTCTTTAATTGTATTCAGTAAAAACACCCTTTTGTCTAACTAACATATATTTATAGAAAATTAAGAACATTAAGTAAAGTTGGCTTTTAAAAGAGACGCATCATATTTTTATCTGACCTAGCTGAAAAACGAAACTAAAAATTTTTGGAAAATCTAAATTTAGCTTTAACATACAGGAAGAATACGGGTAAGGTTTTATATATATTACTTACTTATTACATACAAATATGCATTTAAAAGTCTTTATGAGTGTTTAATATGTTTACCAAAGCGATCGTTGATAAAAAAATCATTTACCTAACTGAATCGTGAGAAATTATATTTTCAAAACAAGTGTAGACATCTAAACAGAAAGTAGATGTTTTGAAAACTAATGGTTTTCATTTTTCAAACCATATCTGTCTATTTCAGTTTTAACTTGTTATACTTTTTAATTTTCAAATATTGATCACCTAAAAACAATCTATTGATAATAACATTTTGCAAGACCCCTTCAAAGGCTCGGGAAAAAATCGGAATATTTCGACATGTTCCGTGTTTCATAGTTATATTAGAATGGAAGGTTATCGATTCTGTCAATTGATATATTTTGAAAAGGACAGTGTACATTATTTATTATTTATTTATCTACCTGTTATTATATTGATTTTGTCAAGTCTTTTCTCAATAGAATGAATGTAGATTTAACATACAGGAATAAAACGGGTAAGTTTATATATCCATTTTCTACTAATTACATAAAATATGCATTTAAAAAAGTCTTTATGAATATTTAATATGTTTAGATATGATTTGATACCATAACTGAATCGTTACAAATTATATTTTCAAAACAAGTGTAGGCAAGAATGTCATGAAAACAAATGGTTTTCATTTTTGCCATATCTATCTATTTCAGTTTTAAATTGTTATTCTTTTAATTTCAAATATTTGATCACCTAAAAACGAACTAATATTAACGATTATTAAATTTAAACGACCCATGAAAGGATCGGGAAAATTCGGAATATTTCGACAATTGACGCGTTTCTAAAGGAAGTGTCAATCGACAACTTCATAGATATATTAGATGGAAGAATTTTTAAACGCTCCTGTTTATTGATATATATCTAAAAGAAATTTGTAAATATCATTTATCTACCTGTTATATATTGATTTTGTCAAGTCTTTTCTCAATAGAATGAATATATTGCAACAAAACAATTATCAACATGCAAAACATTAAAAACGGTTATGCAAATACTGCACCCATCGTGCATACCATGGGCTTATTTCTTACAGTCTTAGAGAATTTTGTGAAGCTGGAAATGTGTCCATAGGACACGGGTGCCCCCACACGCCACTGTTCTGTCAATTTTATGATTCTAGGTCAAATATTTTTTGGACAACATGTGCCACAAGTTGAAAACAAAAAATATTTTACTAAGTAAAGGGCAAGAACTCTACAAATACTGAATAAATCCACAAGTAAACCCCAAGGTGCAGAAGTACACATACTGACCAACATTCTTGTAAACTTTCAGGCCTACAAGTGAAATACTTTTTGAGCTATGCATGAACAAGTTGAAAATGGCAAATTAATACTACTGTAAGTCAAGGGCAATAACTCTAACAAAACTGAAACAAATCCACATGCAAAGCCCCAGGAGCATAGCTTCACAGTGATGTTGATCACTATTCCTGTAAAGTTGGTTGATTCTAACTCAAGCACTCAATGAACAAATAACACAACATAATGAAACGGTTTTTACTAAGCCAAGGGCAATATCTCTACAAATACTGGATAAATCCACAACCCAAGGTGCACAACTACATATGCTGAGCAACAGTCCCGTAAGGTTTCATGACTCTAGGTCAAATCCTTTTTGAGTTACATGCAACACAAGTTGAAAATTGCAAAATTTTATTAACTCAAGGACAATAACTCTATAAATGTTGAATAAATCAACACGAAAAAACCCAGGTGGACAACTGCTGCACATGCTGATTAACATTCCTGTAAAGTTTTATGACTCTAGGTCAAATATTTTTTGAGTTACATGTGACACAAGTTGAAAATTGCAAATTTTTACTAAGTCAAGAACAATAACTTTAAAAATACTTAATAAATCCACATGAAAATACCAAGGTGCTCAACTACAAATGCTTATCAACATTTCTGTAAAGTTTCATGACTCTAGGTCAAATACTTTTTGAGTTACCTGCGACACAAGTTGAAAATTGCAAAGTCAAGGGCAATAGCTCTAAAAATACTTAATAAATCCACACGAAAATATCCAGGTGCACAACTGCACATCCTGATCAACATTCCTGTTAAGTTTCATGACTCTATGTCCGACACAAAAAAGAACGGACGGACGAAAGGACGGACGGACAAGGATACATCTAAATGCCCCCCCCCCCCACCCTCTAAAGTGGGGGCACACAAATTATACTAAATATGTGCTTGTTTTGAAAACGTAAACATAATTTTCAAAGAGGTCAAGTTAAGCTGACGTACCATGCATGATAAACAACTTAGTCGTTTCATTTTGTCTCAATACTTGAGAATTGAATAGACATATGCCATGAACTCTTACGACCTCAGCATAACACATTTAGATTCACAATCGTTAGGCACATTGTCCTGCCAATAATGGTCAAATTGTTATAAAATAATCTCTCCTTGATGATCAAGACTAGCACCCGATTACTATATATAACATTTATACAAGGTATATAATTCGCCGTAGCGTATTCCCCCGGCACGGTCGGTATTTTGCTTTCGCATGTACGTCGTGCAAACAATATATATATATATATATATATAATATATATATATATATATATATATATATATATATATATATATATATATATATATATATATATATATATATATATAATTCAGTAACCGTTTAAATTATTAAGTCATCTTTATTCATTTACGATAAATGAATTATCAAACGTGAAGAATTACCGTAAAATTGTGAGGTCGACATGTTTTATGCAAATGAAAATTCCAAGAATACACCACAAGTAGACATACATTTAGCTGTTACCCAAATATAAATGTGCAGCACGCCTGTCTTTAGATTAAGATACCTGCTTTTGCCGAAATAGTTTTCACATATCTATCTATGTCAAAATAATGGTCATTAATATTGAGTATTTATGGGAAGTGTAACCGGTTTCTATAATTTCAAAAGACCCAGAATGCTTTTAACATTTTCAGTTAATATCAGCTCATACAGCCGAACATTCTGATATCGTATTAGTTTCCAGAATGTCACAAGAAAAGAAGATCAGCTGCAGCAGTTCTGAAAAAGAAGAACTACAGGATAAACAGATATTGATCAACAATGAATTTTGTGAGGAAAATGGAATCGCAGACCTAACACTGATTGTAGAGAATCACAAAATACCTGTTTCTAATACAGTTTTGTGTATAGCATCCCCCGTTTTCCGTACAATGCTAGAAGGTCACTTCCGGGAAAAAACAGAGACTGAGATACCACTACCTGGCAAAAGTTACGAAAACTTCGTACAATTTCTGAAATGTATTTATCCTGACAAGACAAAAAAGGTGAAAGGTAATTGCTATAACCTTTAAAGTGTATTTTTAAGGACCCCAATGTGCACCAAAACGAATCTACTTTTATTCTTTTATTTATATTTTTTCTCTTTTCTAGACAGTTTTGTTAGTTAGTTTAGATTAGTTTTCTAATCTTCAATTATTAATTTTATTCACCATTACATATCAAAACAAGCAATTATCATAGTATTGCAAGGAATCCATAAGTCCCCTACCGGTTAGAACACCATCAACATTCTGAAGGGCCATTGGCCATTCACTTATGTTTCAATTTTTCTCTATTTTAAGTAAACTTGTTGGAAAAGTTCTTTAAAAGTGATCACAGGAAACAGTTTTTATGAACAGACAGACAGACAGACTAAAGGACACTCTAAAGTTAATATTTGAAACATCCCTGTTACCAAAATATAACATTTTAAAAGCAAAACTCTTAAAGAGGAGATAACTCTTGAATTAAAGATCAATTTCATTAAAATTTTCAGCTCTTTTTGACTAATCACAAAAATTGTTATATTTGCCATGTTTTAAGCCTATTTGTTGCCAAGGCAACTGATATTTTTTCAAAATAGGAAGAACAGATAAAACATGCATAATCTCAACACTGCTATCTACCCATATGTCAAGTTTCATAAAAATATTTCCAGTACTTTTTGAGTTATCACTGGATTCAGTGTATGTGTAAAATTTGCCATATTTTCAGTCTATGTGTTGCCATAGCAACCAGAATTTTCAACATAGGAAGAAAAGAAAAAGACTTGCATAATCTCAACACTGCTATCTATCCATATATCAAGTTTCATAAAAATATTTCCAGTACTTTTTGCTTTATCACTGGATCCAGTTTATGTGTAAAATTTGCCATATTTTCAGCCTATTTGTTGCCATAGCAACCAGAATTTTCAACATAGGAAGAAAAAAAAAGACGTGCATAATTCCAAGACTGCCATCTACCCATATGTCAAGTTTCATAAAAATATTTCCAGTACTTTTTGCGTTATCACTGGATCCAGTTTATGTGTAAAATTTGCCATATTTTTAGCCTATTTGTTGCCATAGCAACCAGAATTTTCAACATAGGAAGAAAAGAAAAAGACGTGCATAATCTCCATACTGCCATCTATTCATATACCAAGTTTCATAAAAATATTTTCAGTACTTTTCAAGTTATCGCGGGATCCAGTTTTGTGGACGGACGGACTGACGGACTGACAGACAGACGGACGGACGGACAGACGGACGGACAGACGGACGGAGGGTAAACCTAAAGTCCCCTCCGGTAAACCGGTAGGGGACTAAAAAATATATTTGCATATAAAATTAGTTTTTTTGTTGCAATTATGTATGTTTTTGTTTTCATTTTTGACCTTTAAAATTTACAAAGTGACTTTAAGTAACAAATAATGATAGCTTTAGCCTTTAGTGTTTCATCTTAAATAAGCGTATGAAGAAATGCAGTTGAAATGAACTTGAATTCGAACTGCAGACCTATCACTTCATAACCAAGCATGTTACCCGTGGGCTAGAGGCTTTATGTCAGAATAAAACAAATGATTCTCTAAATTTAGAATAAGAGTTAGTTATCATCTTAAAAGCTGAATGCCTCCAGATGAGTCAAAATATCTCAAGAAAATTAACTTGAGAAAAATGTACAAAGATTCTATGAAAAATAATTTTTTTCAAGATTCCAGTAAAAATTCACATGATGTGTGTGATTAATTATTCATTTTGCAGTTTTTATCACCATATCTCTACTGCGTTACTGTCGCGGTAAGATATTTTTGTTAATTCACGCGGATTGTAAATGCTGTTTTCAATTTGTAAATTATTAAAAGTGCAAAATTCAACCATTTTAAAGTGACATTATGCTCATTGTTCTGACTATATATTTCAAAAGACTGACTGTTATAACGGTGCTTGACCAACATTTGATACTAGAAAATGTTAAGCCCATCTAAATACTCGTACTCACTCTTTTGAAAAAAAAGAGAACATTACAGGTAATTTCAGGTGGATAATATGTTACAGGTGATATCCGATAGATAATTATAGAAATTTCCTTGGGTCATGTGAGTTATTTATCGTTAAGCAAACTTAATCATAAAAGTGAATGGAATCATGGCAAAATGTAAGCTAAGTACCGATCTCTCGAACACATTTGCACTCGCCTTCCAGGTCCGAAAAGTCGAAATTCAACTACATATTTTTGTTATCAATTACAGTAAAAACACTAGGATTACATAGGGAGAATGTCCGTCAAACATGGAAAGAAAAGTTTACGTTTAACTGTAAAAAATGCAACGAGCATGGCATTACTTTCACTTTCGTACATCTGCATAATTATTTTAAAGCAAACCATGCTCAATAATTTAAAGAAAACTGACTCTAAAGATATGGCACCAAATCTTGAGTGTTTAACGTAGCTTTGATAAGTAATTATGTATGCAATAATCTTTCGAAAGTGCTTGAGAGTGTCCTGTTAGTCATTTGATGCTAATTAAAGTGAATTTAATAAACAATCAATGGCATGAAGCATAAGGTGACTCACATCAATTATCAAATACTTACTTTGCATTCTCATATTGTTGTCATATAATTTTCTAGGTCTCTATAGCAAAAAATGATACCTTTTAGAAATTTAAGTATGAGTTGGATGCCTTAAGGTGAACCACGAATCATCTTATTTAGATATAAGAACGGTATACTACTTAATACTTTGTTGCGAACCATTTATAAGTAATTTGTTTCGTCTACTGCAGACAGATGGAATAAATAATTTAATTATTAATGTTTTCTAAAAATGCCAAGAATAATGCATAAATAAGACACCATGCTTGTGTATAGAATTCAAAGCGTATTTTATCATGTAAGCCAATGCTCTACATCAATCTTTTTCCCAGTCCACGAAAAAAGCAAAATCAAAGTTATCAGAGAAACTCTATGATACTTTCCGAATTATCAAAGGAACTTTTGGCCATTAGAAAAATCGGGCAAAATTTTAATATTTACTTTCCATTATATTAGGTCATTATGGATGGCAAAGAAAAATACCACAATGAACAAGTAAATATGTACAAATGAGCAAATGATATGGAAATTTTACTAACATCTACCAGATTTAAGAGATGAAAAATGGACTATAAAGTTTGTTCTGACACATAATACAATATGTAAGGCAAGCACAATCATCAAAGTTTGATTTTAATTAGTATTACAAACTCCCTTTGTTTAAAGATGAAAATAACCATTTCTGACGATATTTGTGTTGATATATAAGTTTTCCAACGAAATCCATGACAGTTATCAGAAGTACTCCTAAAAAAAGTAAGAAAAAATATCCTGGAACAGTTACTCCCCCTTGCCTGTTTCCCTTTTGGGGATGGAAATTACTTTTGCATCAAAAGTACACGTATTAAATTTTGAAATAAGTTTTTGTTTTTCATTTATTTCCCCAAAAAAAAATGTGTAATGCTTTTTTTTTTTTGGCTATGAATAAACCCCTTTGAAAAATGAGAAACGTTGTCAAAAAGGATCATCAAAATAAAGATAAGCAAAGGAAGTGAAGATTTGTTCGGTATACTTTTGGCTAAAACTTTTGGGAAAAAAAAATGAAAGAAATTGCATTTTTGGGTCAGAGAATATTCAAAACATTTAAAAGTTCCCCAAAGATGTTCAACAAAAAGATGAAAAAATTTTTTTTACCCAAAGATATTGGGGGTTTTTTAAAGGGGGAAGAGTTGAAAAAGAGATGGGGTATTTTTTAAAAAACCAAAGTTTTTCCTACTGACGGTTTTTACCTGGGGGGAAAAATTGAATGAAAAAAAAAACTGAAACGATTTTGAAATCTTTAGACTGGCAAAAAAGATTAACATTGAAATAAAAAACACTTTACAATTGGTTTCTTAAAAAAAATAAAAGAAAGAAATTTTGACCTGCTTCCAACCCAAAAATCTGCTTTAAAAGAAAGGCTTTTAAAGTATTTTTTTTATTTTTAGACAAAGACGATACCTGTCTTCACCTTCGTTTTGATTGAAATTTTATTGAAAAATTTTAAAAAACTTTTACCTGCAAGATCAAAGAAAAATTTTTTGAATGTATTGGTAATGATTTTTCCTTTAAAATTTTGCATGCCTTTTTTAGTTACATAGAAAAGTTTTTCACACCATTATTTTTTGATTCATGAGGAAATTACATAGCTTAGTCATTTTCGAAATTTGTTTTCCAAGGGAGAAATTTAAAACGAGGCCCGTCCCGGGGGTTTTTTTGCCCTCTGTTGGTCAAAAAATTCTTATGTCCGGGCTTTAATTTTTTTCAAACATTGAGGGGGTTTTTTAAATAACTTGGCCCAAAAGAACAAATAGCCATGCGTCGATTTTTAAAAAATGTCCCTACTCCAAATCAAGGTTAAAAAAAACTTTTGAAGTTTCATATTTCACGATTAAATTAGAGGGACAACAATTTTGTCCGGCATAATTTTTCCGCATCAAACAATTTTAAAAATAACTGTATCATGTTTTCCCCCACAAAAACAATGAGGGGTTTTTGTGTCACGTTTTCCAAAAACCATGTCCCATTCAAAGGGCAAGGGGCATTTACATTTTGAAGTTTCACTTTATAAAAATAAGAGTTTATAGGTACACACATTTGTGGTCGGATGGTAATTTTCTCATGCATCGAAGGATCTTAGAATAACTTAGCATAAATGTCTACCACATCAAGGTGATGTGACGCTTCTACGAATCACGCCCATATCTTAAAGGCCATGGTCACACTACCGTTTGTAAGTTCACTTTATCACAAATAATGTTTATAGGTGCATAAATTAGTGTCCGGACTGTAACTTTGCCATTCATCGAAGGAGATTAAAATAATTAGGCATAAATGTCAACACAAGACGACATGTCGCGTCGTGTACAAGACCCTACCTTCAAGGTCAAGGACACGCATATAATTTGGAATTACTCATTCTCTCGAGAAAAGTTTGAAGATACACATTCATGT